ATTCAGGTTGTAAATTGTGTTTTTAAAAAGTAACTAAGTAACTAAGTAATTAATTACTTTTGAAAATAAGTAATCAGTAAAGTAACGGGATTACTTTTTGGGGGAAGTAATCAGTAATTAGTTACTGATTACTTTTTTCAACACTACTCGTACCCACAAAGCAATGCGCGAAAGTCCCGTGGTCTGTCGATCTCTATACAGAGTGACAGAAAACACAAGAAACTCAAAACATGCAAAGACACAGACCAAGAAACACAGACTTACACAGAACAGAGGGGGCACAGGGAAACATGAAGGGCAATGAATCAAAACTAGAAACCATAGAATAAATCACACGAGTACAAAATACAAAAATCACAAAGAACTAAAAACGCTGCGTCAGGAGACCCAGGATCCTGACAACTATGGTGCTGAAAGGGGAGCTATAGTCAATAAACATGGTTCAGCTGGGAAACGACAGCGTGCAGAGCTAGCATTGTTGCATCATCTGTGAATCAGTTTAGTCTGTAGGCAAACTGAAAAGATTAAGTGTAGCAGGAAGTGAAGATGTGATCTGAGTCCTGACTATACGCTCAAAGCACTTCATAACAGTGGACGTGAATCCTAGTGGGTGATAGTCATTGAGACAGCTTTATTAGGTTTCTTCGGGACAGGGATGATGGCAGTCCTCTTAAAGCATCAGGGGACTACAGAAAAAAAACACAGAGGTTGAAGACATCTCCCAGATAACCTGGGATGTTATCTTGTCCAGATGCGTTTACTTTTTAAAGTAAATACACGGACGCCTCAGACAGAAACTCCTCAGAAGCAGTCACCTCCCTGGTATGGATCTTCGTAACCAGTCTTGTTAATTATATGGCTGAGGTGCAAATGATAAATGGACTGATTCTAATATAGTTCTTTTATTCTCTCCTGGAGCACTCAAAGCACCATTCACACAAGCACTTTCTCCTATGCTTGTTAAGTGCTTTCTAGCTAACATTCACACACATTCATACTCTGATGGATGTATTGGAGAATAACCTGGGGTTAGTATCTTGTCCAAGGATATTTGGCATGCAGACTGGGGGATGCAGGGATTGAACCACCAACCTCCCAATCAGTATGACCAGCAGAACAACTGTAGGGACAGAGCATCTCCTTGGTAGAGCACATGATGGTAACTTGTGCATTTGGCTTGAGGTTGGTCTCTAGTGTTGTTTGCTACATCTTCATTTAATTCCTGATGAAGGCTCTTAGGGTCCTGTTGATCCTGTACAGTTCTAGACATTCCAGGATCCATGTGGAAGGCACTGAGTCAAAGGATTTGTTGTAGTCTTTCAAGGCAGTGCACAAATTCGTCAGTCTGGTCTTGCAGTCTCAAGCGATTTTTGGTGTTTCCACCAATTCCTTTCTATACCCCACTCATGTATGGAGCCATCTGCCTGGTTATCTTAGCCATTATAATGCCTGACAGGAGCTTCTATAGGGTACTGAAGCAGGTGAGTCTATTCTGGGGATCCTTGGGTATCTGGACTGCTCAACCTAAAGTTAGCCTTTCCAGGTGTGTCTCGTGCATTTATGCTGCCAGACGTTCATGGAGTGCAGTCAGCTTCTTTAGCCAGTAGGTGTGAATCATGTCAGGGCCTGAAGCTGTCCAACTCTTCGTATTGGAGACTCTTTCTTGGATATCTGTGATGCCTACTGGATCCGGCTCCTTATATGGTCTGCACGTAGCTCCACTAGCCTCTGAGAATTGTTATGTGTTGCGTCCTTCTCCCATGTGCTCTTCTAATATTGCTTCATCTTCAGCCTTGGTGGGGCTGTTCCCCTGCCCCTGAGAGTACACCTTAGATCAGGGGTCTTGAACTCCAGGCCTCGAGGGCCGGTGTCCTGCAGGTTTTAGATGTGTCCTCGATCCAACAAAGCTGATTTAAATGGCTAAATTACCTCCTCAACATGTCTTGAAGTTCTCCAGAGGCCTGGTAATAAACTAATCATTTGAATCAGGTGTTTTGACCCAGGGTGAGATCTAAAATCTGCAGGACACCGGCCCTCGAGGCCTGGAGTTCAAGACCCCTGCCTTAGATGGTTTATTTTCCTGCTTTTCTAGGTCTCTGGTATACCTCTGTAAGTGGCTGGCCAAGGCTGTGAGTCTTTGCATGCCAGTTTCTAAGGCCTCAGGTATGGGCTGCTTGCTGTTCTTCTTAGGCAATGATGATGGTTAACTGTGATTTACTCTAGCGTAGTGTTTTGTGGTTTCATTGTGAAGATTACACTTTTATGGTTAGATGTCTCCTTCATAGGGGTTTGTTTATTTTGCCTCACAAACTGGGTCAACCACAGACTCTGAAGTCTGTGATGTCCTGATGCTCATGCCAACAGATAAAATCATAATGTCCACTTCTTTGTGGGGTATAGGCCCAAAGCACATAACAATATCCTTTAAGATGTGCCTATTCGTTTAAGGTAAGTATCCTTATTTCCAGAATGAATTTGACAATAATGTAGTTATGATAAATGCCTAAACATAGCACCTTTAACAGTATCCTTTAGCTGCTTTTCTTTCATCAGTGACAGGCAGCGACAGAGTCATGGAAGCTGGATGGAAATACCAGGCGTGCTATTGTGTCAGTGGCTAGTATGGGTGTTGCTGTCACCAGCCGCCAATTTGGAAGGGTACTTGTCTTGCCATTGGTCTGGTGGCTGTTGTTCGATGGGGTTGGGGGAGGGGATGGGCTTCATAGGGTGACAGAAAATAGAAAATGGAAAATTCCTGTGTGAAGTGCAGTCGTTGATCAGGTGTGAACTGCACAGCAGAGATCAGAGAAGGAGGGAGAGAGCAGACAGCTGCTGCAGCTCTACATAAAGCTCTTCCACGGCAGCATACCAACTGGCACTGGGGCCCAGGGTCTCACATTCTCACCACACTAGTAGAATGACCAAGCTGCTGGTAGGAGGAGAACTGAGCACAGATGGGAACTACATGTTTTCCTCCACATATTTCATACAGTTTGTATCCCAGGAACACTCATGCAATCATATATCTTTGGCCTATAAGTTCCAAATAATAACAATTATAATAACGAATAACTGAACAGCTACTCTAATTATTGATATTTTTTTACATTATAGAAATGTTTTTAAATTGTGTGTGATTAAAAAGGCTGTATAATTAAAACATATTGTAATACAGGTAGCAGACTTTGTTTTAATGTGGGCAGCATACTTGGACCAGTAATGTTCTCTGATGTGACCCAGAATGTCACGACTCAACTGACATCTGGCCCATATATAATCCACTTCTGCCTGATTTGAGCCAGTATCACGTTCCCTGGGTTTTGGCTTTGTGACGTCATAACCACAAGAACAAGTGGACTCAAAGGCAAGACCCAGAAGGTCAATGCAAGTTTAACTTTCACTGAAATAAGAAAATAATATTGTCTAGATACGAGTAAGTATAACACAGGTGTTTACAGCGCAGGGGTCCATGCAGCATAAGCATCTTTTCCATTAGTACCTACTCAGATTGACTCGCCACGACTTGACTAGGATTGACTGATTTTCCATTACAATCCAGTACTACCTAATGGGCGTGGTTGTTGTCATAGCAGCGCTTGAATACAACCAAAGCATGTGTACCAGAATAAACTAGGAGGGGACACAACAGAGCAAGGGCAGGTAAAGGAAAGCACCTAGCAAAGAGTGAAGATCTCAGCTGGCCTTGTATCCAGACCCAACCCACAGTGGTCATGCTGAACATTGGTAGCATAATGTTCTCCATGGCTTAAATAGACCCTTTGAGGTCTGTGACACGTCCTCAGGGTAAACATACTCACCCCAACCAATCACAGCAGATGGCCGCCCCTCCCTGAGCCTGGTTCTGCTGGAGGTTTCTTCCTGTTAAAAGGGAGTTTTTCCTTCCCACTGTCGCCAAAGTGCT